TCCCTATAGTTTCTTTCACTGGGTGATTTCTAGTTCATAGGGCAGTTAAGGAATTGATAGAGTCATACATAACTGTCGTTTGATATACACTTGCATCTTCATCCATTCTTTTTCACCTGAACTTTGAGAGACTCTACTTTGAATTACTATCTTCTTTCAATCATAAGATGTAGCTTCGCTTCACGTCTATCGTTAAAAGCATAAATTCGTCATAACTTCAATACTCAGACACTGATGATGGAATAGCGGACGGCACAGTTAACCTATGCGCCAATAATTTTGCAGGGACTTCTGTGTATATTCCGTTTAAAGATATGTCATTCTGCTTATTACTTTTCCTTTATGACTATTATTTGAACCAATTATTTGATCTGAAAAACTGACTGAAATTTGTTTCAGGGTTTGGAACTTACACAACGACGTCCGCGTTGGGAAAGTTGGCAACGATTGCATATGCATGCATTGGAATACCGCTCGCAATGGGTCTAGTCAACGAAATTAAACAACTTGTAATGCTTGCGTATCACTACGCAAGGGAAAGCGCGCAAACCAGAACTAGAATCCCTAAGGCGATGGAGTCACTGCTGAGCTATTTTGTCATCTCCAGCGTATCTTCCTTAGGGTTCGGTGTGCTGCTGTTTCGATACCTCGAAGGGTGGGACCTCTTGGATGCCCTGTACTTCAGCTTCGTCACGCTATCCTCAATTGGCTTTGGTGACATCGTTCCCGCAAACCCAGGTCACGTCATATTCTCAATTGTTTACATTCTCTGCGGAATATCGATGCTCTCCCTAATCTTTGATGACGTCGAAAGCGAAATTTCCAGCTGGATATGTTGTGTCGTGGCTTCAGTCCTTCCGAAAGAAAAGATAGAAGAAACTCCAGAGTCAGCCACAACTATTTCAGCAAATATTCCTGCACTTCCCCTGGATAAACGCCACAGAGAATAAAATACAAAAACATTAATGAGGCAAAAAAGACAGACCTGAAAAACGATTTTTGTAAAATTGGTAAAACAAAATAAAACGATGAACTGATGTGCAAGTTTCAGAGAGACAGAACAACAAAACTTTTACAGTAAACAATTTCTAGTTAAACACATCGCAATGACTCGTTCGCAACCACAGTTATTCTGAGTCAGCGAAAGCATACATAAGGATTCACACAGTCACACCCATAAAATGACAGAAGTCTGGGGCCTGCCATAACCTGAAACACTTTAAGAAATTTATGACTTATTTGCGTATAACAGTAGCAGCATACACAGTAAATGAGCAGCAGCATTAAAGTATCAGATATAATGTTTATCAGTCCGTAAGGGCAGCAGGAAATTTGCTACTTATTAAAATCATCCCCTAAAATAAATTATCGAGAACGTGAAAGGATTATGAAACTTTTGTACAGCCCATTAAACAGACCAGAACAGAAAAGATAGAAACATGCATCTTCAAGAAAGTCACCAGGTTTAACTAGTGACAAAAATTCCAGAAACGTAAAATTTACCTGGCTCACCAGCAAGCAGAAATTACAACGGCTGCTGATCATTAAGCACGTCTATAATTTTGCGATACACACGTTCACCGATGTTATCAGCCCACAGGAAATCCAAATGGCTATAGTCTTCAATTTTAAAAGTTTGTACAGGAACCTTAAGCCTAGGCAGAAGAAGCTGTTCGATGTCTTTAGAGTCTGCATACATATCCTTCAAGCTCCAAATAACTAACGTTGGAACACCAACGTTTCCCAAACGGTATTCAGGTGAATCAGGTCGACCATAAATTTGCATATTCTTCACAATACCGTAATCGAACCTTTTCACGCTCTTCCGTTTTATCATCTGACCATAGTGAATCATGTTTTTGACGGACGTACCAGCGGGATTCTGAGCCAAGTAAACGTGAATTCTCTCCTATAAAGCGTGTAATTAAACTGAAGTTAAGCAGTACTTCAGCGCACACTAAACTTCACTCATTTCAGCTTCAGCTGAATAAGTAGTAGAATCAATAAGTGATGTGTTTTAATATCGCTCAAGCAGAGCAGTCTGTAATAATTTAATATTCGAGAACGACTTTTATGCAACAGCATTAAGGTTACGTCCTAATGAAACCAGGAGGTGATGGAGAATATAAGGTCTCGATTTCAATGCATTTAAACATTTAAAGTTTACTGGAAACTTACAGAGAAACAGTACCACAAACAAATAATCCTGTCACAGCGTTAAGGGTACCAAAATTTGTAATTTACTCCTAGGCCGCTGCTTCCTCATTATATTGATACTGCACCTCTCATCATGATTATAATCAGCGGGTCAAGACAAGCAGTGGTATATATCACCTTCAGATTGTTTTAACATTAAGTACTTAGACATTGGTTTACTGCATTCACGTGAGACATCACATTACATTCTCGGTTACTACATCGCGATATGAACTTCATGGAATTCTTGATAAATGATTCTCTTCAAAAATATACAAGAGAATAGAACGCCATGGTCAGTCGAATATGGGCTTGACAATCTGATGATGGTAGCTGTACATTATCTACAACGACCATCTGGTCAATAGTTCAGGAAAGTGGGATCACGGAACAATCTCGTCCGGATGCTTACTAAAATTTCAACCGGAACCAACACTGACAAACTGAGGGCGGAATGGGGGAGTTCTGGTGTATGCTACATTTCTGTAGACCGCTTGTTGCTTTAAACGACCAGTACTTCAGGTGCCGCTTTGAATCTATAGCTGGACAGAGGTCATCTGCATCAAATAGTTGGTCCTGATATCCTCCCATATTGAATATACATATGAAGCAGTCTGTGAATGAAGTATGATGCTGTTGTCACAATTGTAATTCCTGATTAAGATTTCATTGTAGTACCTATGCGAGGTCATTAAGTCAATGCACAGTCCTGCGGTTGCGAGTATAAACCTACATAATTGCCAGATGATCTTGCATCAATTGCCTGAATGCATCCCCCACTATACTCATCACGGAAAATTCTCATTCGTGATGCAGTTGTCAAGCAAAGATTTATACTTTACTTTATGATTTCATAATATCAAGATCACCAAGTCAACGCGCATGCGTTCATTTAGAAGAATGAATCTATACAAATGACAGGTTGTCATCCGTATCAAACGCTTTATTTTATCACTCACATTATTCATCGATCGAAAGTTTTCTGTGATCACAATACGGAAAGTTTGTCACAACTGCTAATTTTAAAGTGTGTACTTTTGTCTGACAATTTAACTGTAAGAATCACGCGAACTCTTTATATAGCGCAGTTTGCGCAGAGGCATATGCAATTCAAAATTATATCTCTTCCATTCACGATTAATTTCACCATGTTGCATGTCAATAAAAGCTTCCTCTGAGCATAATATGCCAATTTGGCCAGGGTAGTAAATTCTTCATTAACGTTATGCCGACAACACCTATACCGCATTTTACTACTTGGATATACTGCATATGGCCGTGATTTTTAGCACAAAGAAGACAAAACAAAATAGAAATGCGTAAGTATGTGTTAAACGGTAGTCAGATTAAGTAGCTGTTTACATCATCCATTAGCTTGCGACGGCGGGTCCTTCAGGATGTGAGCTAAAGAGAGAATAACAGAATTATGTCTCAGTTCCGTCCATTAGATGTCAACAATTCTTAATCTTTTATCGAGATGTATGGATAAACAAAATAACAGAGTTGGATGAAGAGGACAGTTCGTGTTAGAAAGAATGCCGTGTCCTACGCGTAGGAAAACTTTCAGGACGTCTAATACAAGCTCTCTGAAGGGAACTTCAAGATCGAAGCAGAACTTACGTGCAATGAATTTGACGACCCGGCGCAGAACATGAAAATCAGTTAGAGAAATCCAGGAAAAAGGACAGATGAGGTATACGTAAAAAATGGGAGAATACACGGATTGATGAAAAGATGCAGAATGGATCTTGGTACCCATACCTACTTCATATGAATAAGACAGTAAACGATCTTCCCCATTTATATATACAGTTTGCACCTACTACTATGATTTTAGTCACTGCATTCAATCAGACTGTTAACTAGAAACTGACAATAGTATCGCCAGTCGGTTTCACAAAATTTTAATTCGTAAGGACAAACTAAATACAAAGTCTAAGTCTAACAACTGTGAACCAAAGTAATACTTAATTTTCTGTTACGCAAAAATATTTAATATACAAAGATATTACTCAGCTGTCTAATTACAGAGTGATGCGCAAAATCACGCCGATAATTACTAATTTCTCCGTTATGAAGTCGTTCACAACAATTATTATTCTTTCGCCTGCGTCAGTCAGTTTTTTGTTGAGAGAGAAATGAGTTAAATGAAATATTTAATACATA